CCTATTTTTAACCTTACGCCTATTACGTGAGGTCTTGTGGGAGCATTGGAGGCTACGAAGTTAGGTGTAAAGGATGGTTATAAGACGGCAGATTGAAGTATAATTTGCTGCGTTCGTATTTTCTTCGATCTTATTAAATTGTCCGCCAGGTTTTGCGCAGTACAAAGAAAACCAACTTCCACCCAAAATCCAATACAGGAATTTAGCTGACTTTTAGCCTTTTCGTAGTCGTGCCCCAAAATCTACACCGTTGACACATAAATGTACATGTTTGCATCTTTCTCTTCTACAGTCAACCGTCGCTCAACGGCGTGAACGATGCCAGCAGATATTTGCTCAAGTTAGGTAAGTTCTCGGGTGCTGTAACTAGTTTGTTTAATATTCTAAATATGCGTCAACTCTGACAGACACAGGTATGGCAGAGGGGGGTGCTAATCGATCGCGTTACGAAGGACACATTCGTCCCGTTAGAGATCTGTAGCGCTGGCGCCAAGCCCGCAATGCACACGTGACTTCGCTACTCTACCTCCTTCTGGGCCAGCCAATCACAGGTGCCGTAGACGTCTATTGGCCAAGTAGTTGATCGATCGTCCAGTAACTCACTCTTGCATGACGTTTATTCACTTACGCTCACAGCACACAGACGTGCGCGCGTGCAGGGCCGGGCGCCTGCCGCGCGTGTGGGATTCAGACCACCATTGATTTCCTGTACACAATAAAAAGTTCCTACTGATCCTACACCTCTTTTTCCTGCACGGAACTGGGCGCGATAATTGTAGTTTTCTGAGCACACTCATGGCTTAGACTCCTACAAATCCATTAAAAATATTGCAGGCAATTGGTATTACCGACAAAGAGACATCCAAGAATAGGCATTTCTTGCTTGTTAGCTGTCATCAGCTTGTTATATCCAACCGCGCTTCGCAATCCCTGAGGCTGGTCAGAGCGCAGAACTTCTAACCAACAGAACACGGTCGGATTAACAACATTTAAAATCATGCGTTTTTACACGATATTTTTATATCTGGTTTTTGGTGGGGATTTCGCCAAATATGTAAATCCATCGTTCAAGTATTTACAATTTTATTTTTAAACATCTGATATACTTTGCGAAAAATGTCTCGAATTTTAAAGGCATGTGCCCTATCCTCCGGAAAGCACCGGGTTTCCCCGTCTATTCAAAGGTGCCTTCAAAAGAAGGCACGCATCCTCTAAATTTTTAAAGTCTGCACCTCGTTTGATGGTTGTATGACCCCAAGCCTGCTTGCGTCTTTCCTAAACATTGTTTGATCCCGCATCTGAAGTCCATCCCTACGCCTGTCTTTTTCAGATGCCGCCGCAGTTCCCTTTCGCAATTTATCACGGTAAGTACTCCAACGTAAGAAAATTGTATATTTAGGGCCCAGGAGGCCCATTCATCACAAACTTTGTGCTGTGGTGAAAATAAACAAATAATTGGTAATTACAGCTGCATGTGAGGAACTTTATAAGCAACAGAAATGTGTAGTATGTTACGGAACCGGCCGTCATTTAAAACAGTAGTCAACAATATTTGGTAAATGTGTTGAACTGAGAAAAGAAGCAAATGTAGAAGAGTAAAGAAACAGCTTCTATAATAAATAGGCAGTTAGATTGATGTGACGCAGTGTGATGGGATCGCGATATTGATGAGAATGTGTGAGGGTTCGGAATGCTCCTTGTCATGGGAGAAATTATATAGCATCATGGGTGTGAGCCCGTCACGGTCGTCAACAGACACCGCGAAGATCATCGTCAGGGTTGCAAGACGGAGAACAGTTGTCAACATTTGGAAATTATGCTTGAAAAGAGGAGGGGGGAAAGATTGATACTGCAGAGGATAAGTCGCTGGCTTCGAGATGAATGTTCTTGACAGTTTTTTTTTAACTCAATGTCATTTATTTCCACGTGCACAGTTGTCTGCTTACCCACGAATACGTCCGATAAAGTGTTGACAGTGCTAAGCACGTTACATCATTCGATTCAATGCTATTGTGTGGGACAAATGTTTTAATTTGAACCGGCCAGTTTATTTTTGCATATATTTTCTCTTATATCAACGTCTGTTTACAAAGCACTGTTCCATATTGCACTTCCAGCCGAATTTGAATCTCGCTTATTTATTTACTTCCTAGGATTTCGGATTTTCACAGTCTATACGGAAACTTAATTATAATCGCTACTTATTATATTTGAGTAGCCTCTTAGGCGTTACATTTTTAAACGTATATAGCACAGACTATCACACCGGACGGTGCATGTGGGAAACGAGGTTTATCTTTGAATATATACGTGCCTCGCGGCACCATTTTTGTGTGGGCGGCAGTCTTAAATTATGACATAAATTAATTATCTGCTAAGGAATAGGTAAGACTGGCAGGGCCGTCAATTGAGTGACACTGACTGGAGGTTAGTTGTCAGGGCTGCCAGCATTCCAGGCCTAAGTCAAACAGTAGTTTCTAAATAACGACATAGTTAGCAATTTTGTGGGATACTTTATGCACTCGATCGCCTACTACAATCTGTCTAGGTGTGTAATGGAAGGGCCCCTTGGGCTTTAAATATACAATTTATTATTATTATAGTATCCGCACCATGTCAATGACTATTGAAGCACTTACTACTTGATACTTGATCCGATTAGCTCCTGTTGTTGGATGAATCGGC